CATGTATATATATATATATATATATATATATATATATATATATATATATATACACATACTTATTTGATAGTTGTAAGTTTTACAGGAGAACGTCTCTTACGCATAGAGAGATATACTTTGTACCAAATTTATTGCAATATTAATAGTGTTATTAAAATGTTCATGACTTACTGGATGCATAGCGATCGTACATCGATTCTCTTTTCCTGCGTAATAACTTGCAATCCTCTTAAATCAGTTCTATAACAAAGTAATCCCATTAGTATACTACGGCTTCGAAGCGAAAGAAGCCCCAGCGAGACTATATGAAGATCTACTTGGTACTCGAGACGTGTCACTTCTGGGCGGGAAACAAATTTCTCTGCTAAATCACTCGTTCGTTTAGAAAAAAAAGAAACAACGCCAAATGTTTCCTCTATTGTTTTTGGCCTACGTTGTAGCCGTTAAGGTATTTAAGAAGACCACCCCTAATGGTGAGTTTATTTAACTGTCAAGTCTCTTCTTTGAGAAATCTTATCCTTCTTGAGTGTTTAATAATGTTATGTGAGAATATTTTATTCAGGCAAAGTTACGGTATATCTTGGCAAGAGAGACTTCATCGACCATTTAGATCACATTGATCCCATCGATGGCGTTCTCGTAGTGGAGAATGACTACCTTCAAGGGCGCAAAATTTTTGGTCAGGTGAATAAAATTCTGACTTTTAGTATGTATATATACATAATACATATTCCTATGGGATCATATTCTCATGTATCATGTATATATATTATTAGGTCACGACAACCTACCGATATGGCCGCGAAGAGGACGAAGTTATGGGAGTCAAGTTCAGCAAAGAGTTGATGTTGTGTCGCGATCAGATAGTACCGTCGAAAAAAGAGAAGCAGGAGACTACACAAATTCAGGAGCGTTTGTTGAAGCGTTTGGGTTCGAATGCATATCCGTTTACATTCCACTTTCCGCAGACGGCTCCATGCTCGGTCACCCTTCAACCCGGCGATGATGATCAGGGAAAACCCTTGGGAGTCGAATATATTGTAAAAGTATACGTTGGAGACAACGAAGAGGATAAGGTATCGAAATAAGAGAAAAGTAAATATTCGATTGTAAGAAATTACAAAATGCAAGATAGAAAAAAAATTAAAAAGAAATTAATAAGCATAAATATATAAGCACTAATATATATGTATAAAATTTTAAAGTAGAATTTATGCAAAACGCGCTTGTTTTTTTACTTTCTTTCAGGGACACAAAAGGTCCTCCGTATCATTAGCCATCAAGAAATTACAATACGCCCCGCCGACACGAGGTCGCCGACTTCCTAGCTCTTTGGTATTCAAGGGATTTACTTTCTCCCAGGGAAAACTGAACTTAGAAGTCACACTGGATAGAGAGATTTATTACCATGGCGAGAAAGTTGCAGCAAATGTAACCGTTACGAACAATTCGCGAAAAGCGGTGAAAAACATCAAGGTGAATATTATGAAATTAAATCGGGTAAATTTCAGACACATTTTACCGCTATCGTGTTTTTTTTTCCGCAGTTGTACGTGGTTCAACATTGCGAGGTGACCATGATAAATGCTCAATTTTCGCGGCACGTGGCTAGCTTGGAAACTCGCGAGGGTTGTCCTATCACACCGGGCGCTTCCTTCACGAAACAGTTCTATCTTGTGCCTTTGGCCAGCAGCAACAAGGATCGTCGTGGCATCGCTCTCGATGGACATCTGAAAGTGCGTAAAGTAACAACAAGCTCTTCAACAGTATTAAGCTATTAAAATATATAAAATATTATATATTATGCATATTTTTTTGTAACAATTATATGTGTATATATATATATTATATATAAAACCTACAGTAACATTCCTGAAAATTTTAACATTTATGGCTTTTCTTTTTGTCTCTACCGTTCAGGATGATGACGTAAATCTGGCATCCTCAACTTTGGTCGCCGAGGGCAAGTGTCCGGCTGAAGCCTTGGGTATCGTGATTTCTTATTCTGTCCGAGCCAAGCTGAATTGCGGTACCCTGGGTGGCGAGCTGGTTACCGATGTTCCATTCAAACTGATGCATCCAGCTCCTGGTATATAGCTTATGTTATTTTAACATACCTATATATTCGTACATAACACATAAACATTTTGAATTTAGCTAAAAAATTTTCATTTATATATTTAAACTGATACACACGCAACATACACACACACACACACATGAAAGATTTTATTTAAAGATTAAATTTCCTAGTTTATAGATTCGTTCAAGCGTTTTCTTTTATGCAGGCACCATTGAAAGAGAAAAGGCCATACTAAAGAAGAGCAAGAGCATTGAGAGAGCACGATACGAGAACTCTTGCTATGCCACCGATGATGATGATAATATTGTATTTGAAGACTTTGCTCGTTTGCGCTTAAACGAACCAGAGTAAATCAAAGATCGGCGCTTTTTGATGCGACCGGTTTCTTCAAAAGAATCCTGGGTTTTCCGCTCATAGTAGATTATTTTCCCGCGTTTAAAATTGACTTTTATCTTTAAATTCAAATAGCAATATTAAAATAAATAAGTAAAAAAATATTCCGTCTTATAAAGTTTAATTATTTTATATAGACTTTGTGTTTGAAATGAGTTTCTTTGGATTCTTTTGATATGATTTTTAGTGAACGAGCAATATTAAATAAATGTAGGTAAAAAAACATTAAATATATTATGAAATTGTTACTGAGAGAAGAAAATGACAAGAAAATACAAAAAAAAAGAGGAAAGATAACTAATTAATAAAAATCATCTCGGAATTTCCGTGCGATGGTGGTGATCGGACAGAAATTCACTACGAGAACAAAAAAAAAAAGAAGAAAATATCAAGTAAGCTTAATGAATAATCCGTGTTTGGTTCAGTTTGAAAACTTCCCGTTTTACCAGAAGTGACATGGTATGTTATTCATCTTAATTATTTTGTTATGTTTTACAGAGTATTACTCCCTCCACATTCAACTGTTTATTTATTATTAAAACAACTGTTGTAACAGTATTGTTCAGTTGCGATTACATTAGAAAATATATATGAAATTGTAAAAACGCACCTTTTTTTGTCTTCTCTCTTTTATATCAATTAATTCTCCCACATATATATCAAATCAATATCAGTCTTGTATTGATTATGAAGATGCTCATTGTTCTTCGCCTAATCATACATATGTGAATAATATTCTTGATACGTCTGAATGTAAGCCTCCTTCTCTATTGATGTCATTTCTGCGATTAGAGTATCGTTAACATCAGTGATCGCGACGGTTTTACCGCCAACATTAACGGTTGGTACGAGCTCATCGTCTTCGGAATCCATCATTTCCACTTCACCTATAAATCAATTTGACAATCGTAAAATTCAAGGAAACACAGATTAATTGTCAATAATTTTTCGCTTTGCGTTTCGAGGCTTTTCATTTTATGTCATTACATTTAAATGACTACAACTATCCTAATGTTAAAATTTGTTATTTAATAAATTTTTCATACCAGTATCAACAGTTTGCATTTCCATATCTTCCTCATTATCGCTACTGTCGCTGGATTCCTGTGGAAGTACTGCTTTAATGGATGCCGCGGAATTAGTGCCACCCTTCTTCTCGTGAGCCAACAATACCGACATGATATCATCTCCCTGCTTATTATTCATCGTATTTGTGTTTGTGGCAGTGGTTGCAGCTTTGTCCAAGATACTTTCTTGTGTATTTACACCATCAGGCTATGAGATAATTAAGCGAATCAAGACACAGAATATACATATATATAACAAAAGGTAAAACACACACAAAAGATATAACAAAATAATATACCTGTGAACCATCAGAATTGATAACTGTGCTTTCCATCATCCATATGGGTCTCTCCTTTCTGTGATTCGCTGCATTGTCATCTGGAGATTCATCTCCGATAGTAATGTCCACTCTAGTTTCTTCCACCATAAAACCTGACATTCTAGTGGCTTCACCTGACCATTGTTCGCTAGGTGCTCTAAGACTACTTGGTTTTCTCGTGTCAGTACTGTAGAATATAATATTGTTTTAACAGATTGGAAATTTTTAATATGCATAAATGTATTTTCAAAAATACTTACCCTCGAATAATATTAATATCAACAGGCTCTGGTTCTAATATTTCGGGTGCCAATTTAATTCCTTCTACTTCCCTCAATAATATATACAATGGTTCCAATTGTTCGTTAAACTTTGCTAATAATAATCTGGAATCTTTCTTTGGAAGAGCAGATTGATCTTCTTCTACTATCTCCCGACAATATGTACATCTAAATTCACCAGTTCTCATGTCGAAAAGTTGATCCGCCTATACAAGAGTTTAATGAAGTTTCATCTGTGTTATAATAATTGCCTTAGATTAATATTATAATAATATAATAATTAGCAAATATATGCATTTGCTATATTTATCAATATAAAAAATATGCAAACTGATCCATCAGAGTTGTTACATTATTATGAAAAAATCACTATATTATATTCTCAAAAATTATACATTTTATGAATATATATAAAATATTACAGGAAACAACGATATATATATATATATATATATATATATATATATATATATATATATATATATATATATATATATATATATATATATATATATATATATATATTAATAATATAATAATATTATAACATATTAATTTCATATGTCATTTATAATTTACATTATATTATTATTATAAGAATCATATATAAACTATTTTGATTAATATGTTATGTTATCTTGTTGTAATATAACAATGTAGTAATAAAATAGAATTTGATTCTAATTCTTAAGATTCTAAATTTATATTGCATTGTTATACTTACTTCAAGATCTGTAAATGTTTTTAAACAACTTGGACATTTAAAGCTAGCCCTACTGGTTGCATCTCTCTCTTCGGTTTCCATTCTTTTCCTCATTAAGTCGAGTTTATACTTTACTACATTTACAAACGTCTAAAATAAAGATATTTATTTTTATCAGTTACATATTTTATTAGTCTCATTAATTTCTATATATTTATTGTAAAATAAAAAAAATCACGATCATTCATACTTTATAATTAATAAAGTAGTAGTTAACTTTCTGTGCTTTGCCATCCGATCCTGTTTCCATCTTTAATCTCACTTGAATAAACTTATCATTTCGTAATGTAGATATCCTCGCTCTCAACATTTTGCGTTCAAACTTCAGCAATTCACAAATGTCATCTTCTTTCATACCTGTACAAGTATGCAATCTTTTTTTATATTAATGGAATTATTTTAATTGATGGATTTTCCATAACAGAATGTATAATTACTTACACGGATTTCTAACCAGCATATCCACAATTAAAGCATCCTCTATTGTGTAAAATCCACGTACAACAAGGCGCGCCAGTTGTTTCAAACTACTGGGTACCTCAGTCACCAGTCTCTCCTCAGTACTCATGTTTCACAAATACTTGACATATAAATAACGACAAATAAAACACATAACTGCACACGATCAAGGACCACTGAAGATACTTGAAGATGCTGAAATGCTGAAAACTGAGAATAGAGCTGGGGGCCTACTTAGAACTTAGAACATATATAAATGGAAGGGGAATGCCTTTGTTTCCCGATAGAAAAATGTCGGAAGGAAGTGAGAAAGAAAATCATAGTTGCCTCTCTCTTGTGAGTAACTGCTCAAAAGTGCGCATGCACGGCTTACCGGTTTGGCCCAATGAAAAATAAGGTTACATTAGTCACATTGGGTGCGTTCAGGAGACACAACCGTTGAATAGCAATCGAACGTGATTGGTTCTTACTTCTAGAACCAACAAATCAACGTCGAGTGTTGACAAGACGATGCTCAACAGTTGTTTTCTGAACGCGCCCATTGATACGATAGTTGGATGGATCATTGTAATTTTTCGTTGATTTAAGTTTAAAATTTTTGTATTGATTTTTATAAAAAATCGCATATTGTAGCACTTATTAATAAATTTGACAAGGAAAATGCATTGCCAGGGACATAAAAATTTTTACATTTTACTGATAAAACCATAATAATCAGTTGACGATTTAATTTTATTTAAAAATTATTTATTAAAAATTGTAGCAAAATACTTTTACCTAACCTAAAATCTTCCTGTTTTAATTTTTTTAAATTAATTTTATGGGGTATTCATGACCAAAAATTTTTGTCATAAATTTTGAAAAATATTAATTACAACTATAAAGACGTTAAAAATCATATTATTTTGTGATACCTCAATTTTTTTTATCCAGATCTATTTATTTGATTTTCCAAGCAATATGATAAAACCATAATAATCAGTTGACGATTTAGAATTTATTTAAAAATTATTTATTAAAAATTGTAGCAAAATACTTTTACCTAACCTAAAATCTTCCTGTTTTAATTTTTATTATTTTTACTCCCGACTGCTGCCAACCGCAGGTTAGGTTAGTTTAAAATTAATTTTATGGGGTATTCATGACCAAAAATTTTTGTCATAAATTATGAAAAATATTAATTACAACAACTATGAAGACGTTAAAAATCATATTATTTTGTGATACTTCAATTTTTTTTTATTCAGATCTATTTGATTTTCCAAGCAATATAAATATAAGAAATGTTTTCTTTTTTAAGTTTTGATAGCTTCATACTACTATTATACAGCCAAAAATCCTCAAAAGAGAGAGCACAAGTGAATATCATTTTTATTATTCATAATATATTGCTACATGTTTATTGTGTTACATTATTTTACACAGATCCATACATACATACGTATATATATAAGCCTTTATAATGCTTATCTTTTTCTTTCTTTTTCTTTCCTTCCCTATATTTTTATTTTTATGTGCATAATTCTTGTCACCTTAGCACTGTTTCTTTTGTTGTTTCCATATTGATATTCTTTCTTTCAAATCGGGCACTGCAATTTCGAAAATAAATATTAATTTCAGATATATTTCTACATGGATAAAGAAACTTACAATAGTTTATATACATATTTTTAAATCGGCATAAGACATTAAAAAACTTCAATACGATAGACTTTAAAGGACAGTCAAAAACTATATTATCTATGACGCATCAAATATTTTTCTAATATATTTATGTATATGAAAATGCATTGTTATGAAATGTTACCAATATTTAGACTAAACGAAAGTTGACTTTATCAAAAAAGAGAAAAATATTAACAATACATGTATTACTTACTTGGCACGAGCATATCTTCGCTAAGCGGCTGCCGATTGAAAGGATCCGTGGCACTGTTGAGTAAATTTCTACTTATAACTGCTTTTCCCACAACAATTTAAGTTTTGATAGCTTCATACTACTATTATACAGCCAAAAATCCTCAAAAGAGAGAGCACAAGTGAATATCATTTTTATTATTCATAATATATTGCTACATGTTTATTGTGTTACATTATTTTACACAGATCCATACATACATACGTATATATATAAGCCTTTATAATGCTTATCTTTTTCTTTCTTTTTCTTTCCTTCCCTATATTTTTATTTTTATGTGCATAATTCTTGTCACAGATATACTATGTCTATGGTCTATGCACACGACACACACGATAACCGTTACAGCCTTCCGTTACAGCCTTCGTCGAGTACAGCCGTGAGTTGTGACACGTTACGCGTGTGTCCTTTGTTTGAACCTTATTTTTTGGACTTTTTTCTCTTCTAAGAGAATTTTCGTTATTGTTAACGCCTTTGTATTCTCATTTAACGCCACTTCTATATACATTATACGCTAGATTCTGGCCATATTGACCTTCGTTCGAGGGCAGGAGCCATTCAAGCAAAGAAGAAGAAGAAGAAGAAGGTGTGTACACAAAAGTATGTATATCTACAGACACGATGCTTGTTTTGCTTATTTTCATTTTATATTTCTTATATGTTTATATATGCAAGGTCCTTTAAAAATCCCTGAACAAAAATACTTCGAAAACAACGAACTATAACAAAAATATGTAATGTATCAAAATATACAGGGTGTCCTGTAAAGATCGTGCCAACGATCGTGAGCGAGTAGAGCACAGTAAACTGAACAGAAAAGTCCTGTAACATTTTTTTCTATAACGATTAATAAAGGAGATATTATTGAGTAAAGTCTGGTCAATCAGCGCCGACTTTTAGCCGGACGCACGTCAGTGAGCCGCCCGTCTGTTAGTGTGCGTCGCCGTAGCGACGGAGCGCTCACGCACACTACCAGGCGCGCGGCTAAAGGTCGGAGCTGATTGGCAGACTTTATTCAATAATAACTTCTTTATTAAGCGTTATAGAAAAAGATGTTACAGGACTTTTCTGTTCAGTTTACTGTGCTCTTCCCGCTCACGAGCGTTTACAACAATATTTACCGGACACCCTGTATACATAACAGATTGACTTTAAGTGAAATTGCCAAGGACATATACATCAATAATCTCGTAGGTGTTGTCAAACCGCAACAAAAGGCCGTGGGTATAAACATCATTGCCGCTATGCAAGCAGCAGCAGCAGACGCCAACAGATTCACCGGAACGGCCGGCCCTGTTGGTACTACGAATGTTATAGGCGGTCAGGAAGGTGGAACGGCAGCACAACAGGCAGCACCGAGTCCCGCTCAACCTCAGTCGGAAGCGTCGACTGGAGGACAGCCAGGTCCCCAACCAGGTGCTCAAGGCCCAATGGCTGTACCGTCTCAAGCTGGTAGGTTTATATTTACTCATTATTATAAATACTATTTCTAGTAACATGAAAACCCACCTATATGAAATAATGGGTAAGAATACCCAATTTTTATGTATTTTTGCCTCCTGAACACGAATATAAAACTTAAAAATGGCGGTCGGACTCGCAAATCGAAGAAAAACGCAAAAATCCATTCAAACGCGGGTAAACCTTCGGAAAACCCATCTATATGAAATAATGGGTAAGAATACCCAATTTTTATGTATTTTTGCCTCCTGAACACGAATATAAAACTTAAAAATGGCGGTCGGACTCGCAAATCGAAGAAAAACGCAAAAATCCATTCAAACGCGGGTAAACCTCGTAGGGGGGGCAGAACCCACTGTGTCCACGCATATATTTTACAACGCGAAGCGAAGTCCATCCAACAATTATTGTATGGATGGGAAAGTGTATGCGTGGACACAGTGGGTTCCGCCCCACCCCCCTACGGTGGGGGCTCCACTTCCGGAAGATATAACCTAACCCAAACCTATATCCCAGGAGTGAATTATTACTAATAAAAATGCATCCCTCGGACATGGGTTGGATTTTCACGTTTGGTTGGATTTTTGCGTTTCTCTTCGACTTGCGAGTTGCGAGTCCGACCTCCATTTTTAAGTTTCATATTCATGTTCAGGAGGCAAAAATACATAAGAATTGGGTATTCTTACCCATTATTTCATATAG